CACCCAAGTTGGCATCTGACATACGACTACATCCCATTTTCTTTGCTCTACTGAAATCAAGACGGTCTAAAGCATTAGGCGGTGAAGCGAGATGTCACTTCTGACTATGACGGGGCAAGCAGATTTCCAACTTCCACCAACAAATCCTGACATTTTTCTGCTTTGAGTTTACCAAATTTTATGACATACAGTCAGTTTGAAGGCCCCAAAACATCCCAGATGCAATTATCAGCCTGTAAAAATGAATCACGCTTTATGATCGGATCTTCGTGTTCTCCTCTTCACGGACAAGAACCATCTTGCTGTCAACACTCCTGCTGAGTTAAGGAGCGCCAAATGAGTTGCCTCAGATGCAGCACAACACATTATTTATGCTCCCCCCTGTGTAGGCCACAGACAACATCATTCAACAAAATTACATCTTATTCATTCTCCTGATGGGAAAGAAACTCAACCACATCAAAATAATACAAAAAAGAAGGTTAGGGTTGAAAGTGGCTGTGTTGGCTGAGCAGCACAATAATAGCAGCAAATGCCCAAAATAAGCATGTTTACCAAGCTGGAACACATTTTGATGATAAGAATTGCTGTTGTGTGGCTGTTTAAAGGAGTTCTAAATTAATTTAAACTTGTTGACCTTCCTGGAATATGCCAAAACCTCTAAGAAAATGGTTTACACAGAAAACACAAGATGAGGGAGTCACGTAATGGGATCATTATCAAGTTAGACGTGATTTAGGTGATTTTTTTTTTTTTTTTGTTCTCTTTTCCTTTTTTTCTCATTATATTGAGCAGATTTATAAGGCTTTCGGGATCTATAAACACTAAAACCACGTTCCATGCCAAGTGTATGTAACACATTCAGAACCATAGTCTGTATATATGTAAATGCAATTATCCATAGACAGACATTAGCCAAAGCTACGAAAAAAAATAGAAGTACTGCATATTTTAGAAGTTTTGGTAAGAGTGGAATTTGGTGGGAGAACTTGGCTGTTCTGCTCACATTTATAACGATTAACATTGTCCTCAAATATTTTTAGACCTAATTTCTAGTTGCTAGTCTTAATTGAAAAATAATATACTTTTTTTTTCCTTTTACCACAATTAGACAAAAATAGTAATAAAACTATGAGTGCACGCTCTGGATTATGTAACAAATAAGTCATATGTAGCAAAGGAGCAAAGGAGAACGGTCACCTCCGAATCCATGCAGAGTTTGAATTGGATTCATAACAACTCAAACAACAGTGGTGGTACTACAGTGTGATCAGATGGTACTACTGATCACACAGGTCATCGCCTTTACATTTAGAATACCGGATAACAAATGGAATCTGCTGGAAATGAGAATTGTTGAAAAAAAAAAGGATTTTCAGAATGCACGTTACTGGGTGTGTCTGTATATTAATTATATATATATATATATATATATATATATATAATTATCATAATTTGTGATTAATCGTGATTAATTGAGATGATGTTCTGTATTCCTAGAACGGACGGCTTGTCAGCCATTGACTGACGACCTGACGGACATGACTGCTCTGCGCTCTGTGAGGCCGGTCGGAAAGCAGGGCTCAGAGTTGAGATGCTATTTTAGGCACACACAGTGTGTGAAAATAACATGTGTAACATATGTCTTTGCATTAGAGCAGTGTTAAGTATACGGATGCTGGATCTGGATACACAGTACACACACTCATTCTGTCCTTGCACGAATCAAAGTTATTGATCTAATGCAGATCTTGTTTTTCTGTTGGGTCAAAAAAACAAAGTTGACTTTGGTTTGGAGTCGCGTTAACTTTGTTGACAGCAAATAAATTTAACGGACATGACTTCCTCAGTAAGGTAGTGCAGAGTGTGAGTGAACCAGAGGAAGACTCATTTTTACCCCAACTGGGGCTTAACTGTAGCAGACTTGAACTTGAATGTCGGCCAAGTGACCAAACACTAAATAACAGTGCCGTCAACATGATCCATCGTGCATGGCCTATAAAATGCATGTTTTTGTATAATGCGATGTGTGGGTCACAGTGTGGTGAGCCAGTGTGGTAAATGCTGATGGTATAGCACACATATGAAGAAAGCATTTATATATGTTTACACTTACATTTGCTGCTGTAATCACTTGTGGAAAAAGGAAACGACCACGTTGATCTAGGGTTTTTGGTTCCCGCAAATCCCCAAATTATAAATGCATTGTGCCAGTATTACTGACGACTGTCACCAACTTTGTGTTTCCAATTAATGATGCAGTTGCTGAAATATGCTGCAATGTGGAAACCAATCGCTTGGGAATGCAGATGATGCAGGGATTCTAACGTAAGAAGAAGATAAGGGTGGGAATATCAGATTCCTCTGTAACAAACAAAAGGGCAAATGAAACATGATGACCAAAAGTTAGTTTCCCACTACCTGCCAATGTATCTGTGGGCACGCCAAGGGAGTCAAGGGAGTTATTGCTATGGCCTGGCAAAGTTTTTTTTTTTTTTTTAACCGTTCAGTTCAAGCCTCAATAAATATTAAATGGTTTTAAATTATTTCTTTCCAGCTGAAAGTGCTTTATTGCAGATTATTGATGATAATAATAATAATAATTTGAATTTATTTAATCCCACACTTGAGAAACTCTTGTGTTAACAGCAGATCTGTTGCAACAGGCTGCCCTTTGGAGGCGCCAAGTCTGTGGTTTCTCTGGGAATATCTGCTCTCTTTCGCAAGGCAGGCGTGCTAACCACTACACAATAAAAGCAACAAGGGAATGTAAAAAAGTAATTGACCGTCAGGTGATCGGATTTCATTTGTTTTTAGTATGAAAGTGAGGATGTATTTGATTTCGATTAACTAATAACTCAAAATACAATTTTTAATATGTGATTTGTACCGCTTTAACCTTTCTGGGGAACGATTAGCATTTCAGCCCATTAAGTGGCAGTAATGTAGATAAAGTTTGTATGGTTGTTTGTCGGCCACAAAGAAGATGCAACGGTAAGCAATGAGTTTGCTACTGGATGGCAGCTCAGCAGCAGCGAGGAGTTTCTCACAGTTAAATTGACCTGTAGTCCATGAGCAAGTTTGTGGTAAAATCCCTGTTTGTTTTGATTTAAATTTCTAAAAAAAAAAAAAGCCTGTTTGATTAGCATTCTGGTTTGGAATCAGTAAAAATAATGGACAATGGTGATTAGGTTCATTGACAGCAGTTGTTTGTCTTTGTGATGAACGACTAGCCGTGTACAGTTTACTCGCATTTCATTTCATGACTGCCGGCTCTGGTTCCCTACCAGGAAATACTAACATTAACCGGGTGAATGAAAAGAGAATGTTCTGATTGTTTTTTGTTTTTGTTTTTTCAGAGTTCAAAGCTGATCCACATGTACGTGCAGGAGAAAATGAAGTTTCTTTTATAAAATGGAAGGAATTACAGCAGGCCATCTTTCTCGTGTTGTACGATGTTTGATTAAAGACAGAAAAAAAAGATACTAAACCAGAGAATGTGGGTTCCAGTGGAGCTGTTTATGTGCTGTCTGAAAATGGGTTTAACAGTAAGAGAAACAATAACAGCATATCAGAAAAAACCCTGGCCAGATTTATACTACAACAAAATAAACCCAGAAAGTGTACCGAAGTTCGTGGAAGTGCTCATGTTTCCCAGAATTGTGGTTTTGCTGAATCAGTCCGAGTTTAAGGGCACTTCAGGTAAGTTACACATTCAGATGGAATGAGCAGACGATAAACAAAGCCAAAGGTTGCGACCTGAACATTTTAGACATGGAAAAATGCAAACAGACACAAAAATCTCAAGCGATAATAAAACTTATCTCAGCTGGAGACATTTTCTTCCGTGTCCGGGAGTGTTTCCTTTCACGCTGCTTGTTTTTCCGTACTGCAGTCTCAACACTTCTTTTGCTTCTGTGGTGGAACTCAAACAAGGTCTGAAACTGATTGCTTTATTTTCTCAGCGTGTCCCTTCTCACATTTATTATTGCAGAACACTGAGATATGCTGGACAAGAGGGTGGCAGAACGCTGAGCCCGAAGATTCTAGACATTTTTATTCCAGTTCTATGAAAAATCTTGTCTCGGTGAAGGGTTGTGGGGGGGTGAGGGCGGGGGGGTCAAACATGGGGATGGGTGCACTATGGTGTCGGTGGTGGAGTAGAGGTGGAGTGTATGCAAAGTGCCAGAGCACCAGGGTCTGCCTGGATATGTGAAAGGTGAGCAGCTTTTTAGCCCCGAGGGCTCGGGTATGCAGTCTGGTCTGCACGTGCTCAGTAGCTGAGGGTGCTCCCACTGACTGATGTGCATTTCAAACACTGCAGCAGCTTCCACCACAGAGAACAGTAAAGCAATCCCTCTCCAGCTGCCTGCACCCACCACCACCACCGCCACCACCACCACCACCACTAAGCATGTGGTCTGTCTCACACAGGGAGGTTACATGTGAAGACATTATTGTTTCAGTGGGTTAATATGAAGGCCACCTACACACCTGCACAGAGGAATGTTTTGCATTGGGAGGGGGTGAGGGAGTGGGGGAGGGGGGAGGTGTGTGGGTGTGTGTGTGGGGGGGCACTAGCACTGACTGGCATTTTCATTCACATACCTCTGCAGTGCCAGCAGGGGATGTGGCCAGTGGTGTGGAAACCTCCACGGATTTGGGAACAGTGAGCAGTGGAGATTTTATTCACATAAAATCTGCTCTCCTTGGGGCTGGAGGGGGTGGAGGGGGGGGGGGCATTATACGTTGTCATGGCTCATCACAGGAGGAAGAAAAAAAAATCAAGTGAGTCACAAAGCACTAACTTGTTGTGCATGACACACTTCAACAAACACATTTGTTTAAAAAAAGACTGTGTGGGAATAAAGGTGGTGCAGGACACGGGTCCCTGGTTGATGGGATCAGGTGATTAACAGAATTAAATGTTTGTGCTCTGTGCTCAGCCTGGATGCAGCGCTGCCTCATATCGGGGCTCTCCGTTTACATTATTCATACAGCGGAGGAGGGTGTGACTTGTTGGCTCCTTTTTTTCCCAGCCTGTATAAAACGAGAAGTTCGCGTAAAAGACAACACAGATGGAGAAGGCTAGCCGGATCGCTGTGTCACAGAGAGTCCCTTTGAGCCTGCGTGACAACTCACACACTGTCCCTTTGTGACCAGCTTCCCATCGGCAGAATGCCCGCTCTCTGCGTGCTTTGTCTGGCCGCGGCACTCGCTGCGCTCTCCCGGCTCGTCGGCACCGTGGGGCCGGTGGTGCGGTGCGAACCGTGCGACGCCGGGGCGCTGCTGCAGTGCAAGCCCCTGCCCAAGGACTGCGCGGAGCGCACGCGGGAGCCCGGCTGCGGCTGCTGCATGACGTGCGCCCTAGGTGAGGGACAAGCGTGTGGAGTGTACACTGCGCGCTGCGGCTCCGGCTTAAGCTGCCGGCACCAGCCCGGAGAGATCCGACCTCTACAAGCGCTGCTGGAGGGGCGAGGAGTGTGCACCCCCGCCGCGTCCAAGCGACTCAACAGCATTCCCATACCGCAGAGACCAGGTAGAGACGTGTCATTTAACAGAATTGCATGTAAATCAACCTGTTGTGTGCTGTTATTTGGAGGATATGTGACAGGCGCGCGGCTCAGGTTGTCAGGTTCTCTGTGGGGGCCAGACACGGGGAGGTCCCCGCTGATGCAAACACGGAATTAGCGCGTCGTAATGAAAGTGGAGGAGATTAAAAGGTTTAGTCTGATCGACTTAGGCAGAAAAAGACAGAGGCTGCGCTGCAGTGTTACAGTGTCAACCACCAACACTGACCGCGGGGCTTCAGGGGGGAGGAGGGGGCATGTCACTGTCACAGTGATGTGTGAGACTGGGTTAAACGAATCCAATGCTCCCGAAAGTTTGTGAAAATGAAACCACTGATGGCTCTGAGTTTTTGCGCAGACATTAATCTCCGCGTCCCCAGCGGCACCAGGCGGCCACATATCTCCGCTGATGTGCGCAATGACTCGAGCCGTCGTGCGTAACAGGCGTTAAAATCTAGGATGGGAGTGCAGGCTGTTTATACTAAGGTAGAGCAACACGCGCGCACACACACACACACACTCATTAGCAGCTATTATTAGGTCTCTATTGACTCATTGGGGCAACATAAATAGTAAGGTATCCCTTACCTCAAAGTTAAAGTCTGCAATATTCTGGAGGGAGGAGGGAGTGTGCGTGTTTTTAAACACAGAATATGCATGTCATCCCTTTCCCCTGCAGGAGGTGGTGTAAGCTTTTTGACATGGCAACTGCAAAAAGTTGAATGCAGATTTGAGGTTTTATAGAAACAACAGGAACTAATGCAATGCTATTGGAGATGCTGCACACAGCAAAAAAAAAAACCCAGATACAAACATGTTAAAATGCTTTAAATAAAAGTTTGCATGTATATCTGCATCTCTCAAAAATTAAAATTTCCTAATGAGAAATAACAGGTTGTAATTGTCCTTGAAAATGTGTTGAAAATGTTCTTCATCAGTGGCTCGGCTAGGCTAATAGTCCTCTTCCCCACATTATTGTATTTTGTACTGGGGCTAATTTGCAGCACTGACATTATATGTTAAATTTGCATTATTAAAAGGAAAGGCTGTGTCCGACCAATCACTCCTTATATGGGAAATTATATATAATTCACTATATATTGGACTCACTGGTTACTTTGGCGCAGAGTTAATTATGTCATTGCTGTTGCACAATTCAGACAGACGGACAGACGCTGCACCTCTCTCCACCTTGTCATCATGACTGCCATGCATGATGGGATACATTGCTTGGAAAGTGAAAATTGGTTCTACTAGATTTCCTAGTGAATTGTGGGACACTGTACAGGAGAGGAAGGAAGGAAAGTGAATTACTTGTCATTGTGACACAGCACACTACTGCACAACGAAATGTGACCTCTGCATTTTACCCATCACAAGTGAGCAGGGGAGGCAGTGTGTGGGGTCGGTGTCATGCTCAGACCATGGTGAGAGTGTGGTAACTTGGCAGCTGGTGGACTCGTACCTGAAAACTTCCAGACCCACTTCTGCTTCCTTAACCCCCAAGCCACCACTGCCCCACTAGTATAGTGGACTACTTCCACTCACTAAACATTTGGACACCACTACAAAACGGCCCCTATGTAATGTTGGGTGTAAAAAGTGGTTTGGGACAAAAAATATATAAAAATAAAACAACTTAACATCTAAACAGAGAGCTCAAGAATTAAGTTTCGCTCCAATAAGCCCGGGATTTGGTTCTGCTTAAAGACTGCTGGTGCTGAAAAAGAGCCAGTGTTTCTAACCAGAAAAAGTCTTAAAAAGGCAACAAAAACAAGTACACGCAGAGAGAGAGAGAGAGAGAGAGAGAGAGAAAGAGAGAGAGAGCCTGGCTACCTCAAACCAATACTTAAGGAATGCCACATACATACTGTAAGTATACAGTATTTAACTAAGGCTGAGACCAGAGCATGTCCTCGTCTTATGTCCTGTCCCCGTTTCTCTTTAAATAAAGCTGGAGGACGTTTTGTGCATAAAACTGTGCTCTGGTGTTTTTACAAGTCCATGTCATATGTGTGGAGTGTGGACTGTGTATAAAGGTGTGTGTCTGTATATGTATGCATGTGTGAGGCTCCCCAACACACACACTCACACACCCACACACACACCCAACACCAAATCCCAGCCCGTTATCAAGCAGCGACCGGTGGGACCAGCGTCCATGTGAATGGATGAAACGCTGCTCACACTGGTGACACGGCACACATGCCACCTCCATGTGAATACACACTGCTGTGTGTTTTGGGCCCTGCTGACGTCAGGCCTCCAGGAGCCTCTGTGTGTGTTTTCTAATTCCTGGTTATTTGGTTTGGCCACAGCCATGTGTGGTGTGCAAGCACACGCAGTCACACACTGACATTCACAGGCACACACCAACACGTGCACAACATGCAAACATTTGTCATCTATCAACAATGGCTGCAAAGTTTTTCTGCCTCCAAGAAGAAGCATCGTCATAGTACCCACACACACACACACACACACACACACACACACACACACGCATGCAAATATAAACACAACGTAACGACCTCTGCATTTGAGCCGCCCGTGAAATAGTACTTGTCGGCAGTGCCTGCAGCACCCGGTGAGCAGAAGGGTTTTTGGTGCTGGTTCAGAGCGACTGAAGCAGCAATCCTCCAATCACAGGCAGTATTCTCTGCAGGCTAGGCCACAAAGTTGGATTCAGTTTTTCTGTCAGTTTTTCTGTCAGTTTTTCTGTTCACATTCAGTTTTTCTGTCAGTTTTTCTGTTCGTCTCACTATGCACGACTTCTTCACACAAATTTCCCGCTACTTGCCGCCAAATATAGCAGAAATACACATATCAACGCGTGGGAATGTCACAGTGGTTCAAAGCACCCCTATTGGTCACATTGCATCAGTGCAGTCCGGTGCTTGTCACCACCATCAGTCGGCAGCTTCTCCTCCCAGACATTAACAACTCTCCTCGACCACAGTTTGTGCTGTTTACTCCAGTGTCATTATATAAACAAATTGCGTAATGTGTTTATACAAAAAATGGCCCTGCACTCCCTCAAAAGTTTTTATTGACAATAAAAAAAAAAAGTATTTGCTTGCAGGAATTATGGACAAGGCTCAACACTTTTCATTCATCTTGTGCACATTTATGGATTTTGTTTCATGACTTCTGGGAAACCACAGGAGGCATCTGCTGCCTTCTGACTCCGTCTGGATGCAGCCGTTGCCGTCGCTGACATCCCATGTTGTTATTCTAAGTTCTGGTAAGCCCCGAAGCTTGCGGAGCCCCACCACATCGCTAATTGATCAGGTGGTCATGAAGAAAGGGTGGGCTGCCAGCCTGCCTGCCCACACGGGCTACACGCCTACATGCCCGTCGGCCACTGTCGCCGCAGCTCTCCAACACAAAATCTGCTTTGAGTTAACGGTTTGAAACTGTGTTTGGGTGTGTGTTTGTGCAACCGACTGCATGTGTGTTCCCATCGTCCCCTCGCTCCTCTGGGACATGGTCTGGTGGCGGAGCTGGTGGCACATGGCGAGCAGATTAGTCCTCTTGGTTCTAAATTAAGTTCCAGCGTCGGTAGCCCTCTCCTCTTTGGTCAGATGGTCTCCTTCGTGCTGTTCTTCAATGATTTGACAGGAATCTTTTTCCAGCACTGAGGGCTATTAATACAGCCGTGTCCTTATCTCCCACTTTTCCTCCCACTGCATCTCCCTCTCTGAGACCCTAATCCTTAAATAGCCTTGTTTAGGATCTTTGAGTCCCCTTGAATCTCTTGGTCTGCATACTGCAGAAATTTGTGGATATGAAATTGTCATGTTTCTGTTTATTACTTGGCTTGGGTTCTGGCACCAAGCAGCCCACAAGGCAGTGAGCTAACTTTAATTTGTCTGCTTTAAACAAGCCTCTTTAGGGCAGTCCAAATTCTTGTGCCAGATTACAGTGATGAATTGAGATTCCTTCGAGTTTTATCTTTTTTTTTTCTTTTTCTTCTTCTTACGTTGCAGCCAAAAGTTGTTAAATTTGATGTTTTTATTATTAATTTGCACTCATTACACTAGGATTAGTGTTTAACTTGATCATGTCTTTCCAAAAGTAATTACTTAACAGAGCGCTACTTTCTTCTTGTGCAAGAAACAACAAGGTCTATGCAGCAAGACTTCTCAACCACGTAGTCGAGGGTCATTATTGAAGGGCGGGTTTAAGTTTAAGACAGTTCACTTCTACAAAAGGCCTCACTGATCATCCAGGTGTTTTTATGCACCCAGTCCACAGACCAATCATCTATTGCCATTTGACTGGAGACTTTAATGACCGCAGCAATAAAGTTGCACCTGTATTTAAGAAATAACTTAATTTGAAGTCCTGCTGTGACCAGGTTTGTGCTGCTGCCCAATGCTTGTGTTGACTCGGATCTAAAAAATTGTAATGTCACTTGTTTTGTTTCGTTTTTCTTTCCTGGTCAAATGCCTAGATGGTACTTGGTGCACATGATTGTCACATATAAAGCAAAACAAGCCAGACTTCAAATAGAAGTGGAACAAGACCCACCTTCACAAGCTCTTGTTAGCGCCAGCACAAGTTCAACTAAAAGGTGACATTGGACTCAACTGTGTTTGTGAGGAAGTGAGGAAATGCTAAGTATAAGATAAGGAACTAACCCGGTCTGAGGTCATGACTGTTCACTAGACCAGGATCTAAAAACACAGTCCATCATTTGATGGTTTTGCCACATTGGGTCAACCTGCATTAAACAGGTGTCATTGGTTTTTATGCCAACTTCCCCCTTTTATAGTCAGGTCTCTTTAAGCTGAGTGCTCTCCCAAAACAGGTGACATGTCCTGAAGATGCTGGAGGTTCCTATTAGCTCCACAGAGGACAACGGGAGCTCAGATAGAAAGACCTTCCTATTCTTGGTCACCTCAGTTACTCAGACTTGTCTCCTCCTTTGAATGTTCACTTTGGAGTTCAGCAGTCTTTTATTGGATGTTGTTTTCCATCTTCAAAGTCTTTCTTCAGTTAAAGAATTATGGAGGCCACTGTGGCCCTTGGGAAACTTCAATGAACCAGTTGGGGTTTTTTTTTTTGCTTCCCCAGATCTGAGAGTTAACACAATCCTTTCTCTGAACTCTGCACGCAACCCCTTTCACTTCATGGCTTGGTTTTTCTTCTGATGTGGACTTTCAGCTGCAACCCGTTATGAATGGAGCATGTGGCCCTGACATCGGGCCTCACCAATCAAAGAAGCAGCAACCAGGGGTCCACAATGTAGAATTGATAGAGTGTCAATGTTCTATTGACTTGAAGTATTTTGTATTAATATTTTAGGGGGTTAGAACATACTGAACATACTTCAATTTGTAAGGGGATAACATTTACAAAAAGATCCATCCATCCATCCATCCATCCATTTTCATCCGCTCATCCGTTACCAGGTCGCGGGGCAGCAGTCGCCACCCAAATCACATTGCACCGTACCAACCCCCCCAAACCTTCCTGCGGGTGGTGAGTCCACTGGAAGGTATTAACCACCCTAACCAGGATTTGAACTTGCCCAGGAGGTGAACCCTGGGGTTCCACACCAATGACAGAGACATTGCCTCTGGGCCAAAGCACCACAGGATACTAATTATTAAAATTATTTTTTTCTACACATGAAGGTTATGCATTCAAGAGGAAGGAACAACTAAACAGCTTTCAGCGTAAAAGTTCTGATATTACTTTTAAGAAGTGAAAATGTAAATTAAAAAATATATGGGACCAATGACAACAAGTAGTTCATGACCTTTAGAGAGATGGTGGATATTCTGTATACAATAAAAAAGCCAGAGAAGAGTCATAGATAACTAACTAACTAACTTAAACTTATTTGTCATTGTGACACAGCACAGCACAGCACACCATGCACAACGAAATTTAACCTCTGCATTTAACCCATCACCAAAGTGAACAGTGGGCAGCCGTGGTCAGCGCCCGGGGAGCAGTGCTTGAGGACGATGCCATGCTCAGTGCATCTCAGGGGTAACCTGGCAGTTGGTGGATTCGAACCTGGGGCCTTCCGGACCGAAGTCCGCTTCCTTTACCACTAGGCCACCACTGCCCACTGCCTCATGGTGAACAGAACAAAAAAGAGATTTGAAGAGAAAATACAGGAGGTGTAGAGCGACATAGCAGCAGATAAATGCTAAGTGAAGAAGGAAAAAATAAAGAGTTGAAAGTCCCCAGCTTTCTTTTTTAAATTCACAAAAGTGAAACAGATTTCGCAAAGAAAAAAAAAATCTGCTGACAAACAAAACAGGAACAACAAAATAACCAGAGTTCCACAAGAATCTCAAAAACATAAAAGCTCATAAGCATAACTCAGAAACTAATCGTCCCCAAACAGACCCTAAAGACAGGAAAAACAATGGCTGCCATAACTCTTTGGAAATCTGTCCCCCGTTGTATTTCCCAATCTTTTTAAGGCAAAATCCATTTGTCTTTATCTAAAACATGTTGAAATAAGAAGGCAGTTCAGCGTTTCAAAAGAGAGGATAATTAAAAGACTGCATTTCCTAAATGTCGGCATATACTGTAGTTTAATAAATGACAAACGGGTTCAAGAATAATTCTATTGTAAAATTTCTTTCTTGCCCTAACGTGGTCCAGACCTGACATGTGGTTATGATGTACACAGTATGCAAGTCACTTTGCAATGTGGCACAAAGCGTCACCTTAATGACCAAAAAACTTCATGGAATTCGCGATTTTATTGACACTGTCATGAAATATGTCAACATCTAAAGAAAGTAAATGACTGACCTTTACCCCCACAGATAACGGTGGCAATCAGGTAGAAGATGGAGGGGCCAACACCACGCAGCCGATGCCGGTGTTGCCTGGGGCTGCGACTGCGAAGGGCGGACACTACCGAGGGTCCACTGACATCAGGCCTTCACCGCACAACAAGCTGATTCAGAAGGAGCAGAACAAGAAGACGCAGAGCTACAAGGTGGAGCCGGTGTCCGGAGGAGCCAACGTGGACGTGCACAACTTCTCCCTGGAAAACAAGAGGGAGAGCGAGTATGTAAGTCACAAGTAGGAGCAGAAAGGCCTCCGACTCCTGTCAGTGTCATGTACTACAGCAGAGCCCTGGTGGGGCTTACAGACTAAATCTGAAAAAAAAAAAGTTACAATTTCAGATTTTTTTGAAAGACTGTCGTTAAACACTTCACAAACCTTGAAGAGAAAAGTTATGCTTTTATAACTTGATAACATTGTACACTTAAATAACATGTTTGAGCAATCAAAGAAATATTACCTAGTTTTACAATTCCGTAATAGTATTTCCAATTTATTGCTTTGGCCAATAAGAACATTTAATGTTTTGACTTTTGAATGATTTGTTTTGCAGATTTTTTGTTGACAAAGCAAAATAAGATATTTGTCTTTAAAATCAGAAAAAAACAAATAGAAAAAAAACATTTAGAATTTAGACATTAAGGTAACGTTTGTGACTCCAACCCTAAAAAGAATACTATGAAATACCTGTTACCCTCTCAGTGTGTACATTTAAAACGGCCTAAAATGTATATCAGTCCAGGAGTTTAACCCTGTGTGAACAGAAACCAATGCTAAGTCTGTCAGAGGCTACAACAGGCTTAAAAACAAAGTTCACACTCTCACAACAAAAATGACTTGAACAAGAAACACCCAACCAGAATCAGAGAGAAAATCACTTCTAAACTTACTGTTAGCAGAAAGTGTGAACACAGAGACTGGGAGAGACACATCTGAAGCTGCAGTGTTAGCCACAGGTGTCTGCAATCACTAGCAAACACAGGCCCAGGAAGTACAATTTAAACTTCAAAATAAAACAGAAATTCTTTGAAACAGTACAGAAAGTAGCACTGGGCCAAAGAAAGAATAATAAAATTAAAACTCTCAGAATAATCTGCCTTCTTAACACAATTACTGAGAGGAATCACATTTTCTAAATATTTTTACACTTTGGTTAACTCTGATGTAGGTTGTCAATCACAACAAGGTTTCATAGAAAATGTCAAATTGCTCTTCATTTGGATCTGAAAAATAAACCAACAGAAGTCATGTGGGTCTTTTTGGGGGGTTTCCTTTTGCAGCCATAATTTGCAACCAGATAACTACGCCCATATCTTGTATACAGTCTATGTTTAGTTGGACTAAAACTGGACTTGGTTTTCACTGAGATACAACGTGACTTTTGCAACGTGTAGCTTTAGTAGGGGACATTTTGCATCGATTTCACATGACAATTCAGTATGTTCTAGGAATATTTAATATTTAAGGTGATTGTTTTGAGGTTGATTGTTAATATAAATCTATAATCCAAATATAAGAAGTTTTACTCACAGTTAATGTCTTACAAAGTACTAGTTTGTTAGAAATGCTTCAGGGATCTCATCGCATCAACGTTCTACTTTGGTCAGTTAATTCACATCAACAATAAATATCGAAATTATATTTTAATTTAGTTTTGTTGAACTATGTTTTTTTTTTTTAATCCACACGAGTCAAAACAAAAACCTGATAAGAACATTCCTCTGGCATAAAAATGTTACATTTTTGTATTATTTATTTACAACTTTTTGTTTCCCCGGGTTCAGGTGAGGGATATACAGTTTCAGGCCACCAGGGCGAATTCGTCTTTTTTTTTTTTTTTTTCAGTACCATCCTGGTTTCTCATGTTGGCACTGTACTGCTGCTGTTGGCAGAAATGCTCATTGCTCAAGCCACTGTAGGTGGTAGGCACGTGCTGCCCTTACACACATGCAAGAAAAGCACACAAAGACACAAACAATGTGGGGAATCTCTCATCAAAACATTGCTCTGCAGAGCAATTTGTGGTCCACAGATCCAACCTTAGGGTCCCTGCAGGCTATCTGCTATCATTAAAACATCATTATTATACAAATTACATGCTCTCTAAGACGTTTGCCAGGGAAGGTACCACTTGACGTCTCGTTTTGTAACTTAAGCTCTTCAACATGGAGCAGACCGAGCAAACACCATTTCAGAAGTTAAATAAGGTTAAAGGGATTATGGACGGCAACTACGTCAGGCAGAAGTTTGCGGGCATTTGCACAAAAATTATCCACAAGGCATCCAGAATATTATATTTATGGTTACAATTTTGTGGCCAACGAAGGTATGGCTATCAACGGCCTCTAATAACATCAGCAGCAGTGGCCTCAAGGTTGAGTTTAAACCAGGACAGAGTGGAAAATGAAGGGACCTAAAAGCTGAGATCCAACCTTAGAGACATAGAAGGTCCAGAGAGTTCATTGTAAACGTTTGGAAGGAGCACTTTTTAACTTGCTGCTTGAACATTCCTCCAGCTGTCCACGTTCCCTGACTGCTCCCTGAATGTTGTGTGTGTGTTTGTGTGTATGTTACCAGGGGCCGTGTCGACGGGAGATGGAGAGCATCCTGAACAGTCTGAAGATCAGCAACGTGCTCAACCCCAGGGGCTTTCGTATACCCAACTGTGACAGGAAGGGCTTCTACAAGAAAAAACAGGTGAATGGCTCTCTCGGCTGTTTCCACGCTTTACACAGTTTCTCCTTTTACGTTCTCACACACACACACACCTGAGGACGTGCTAATAGACCCACCGCATGCCCGAACACTTCCTAAGAATCCTCGCCGACCCATCCCACCCATCCACATGAACACAATCCCCCCTTTTTGTTCAGCTCAGGTTGTCTTGACAGCCACATCAACACTATATTATCAGAATGGCTAATAACCATGTATTACCTCAGTAAGTGCACTGCAGCCGTCTGACTCATGCCTCACAGGAAATGAAGTCGGTCAGGTGTGTTTGTGGGTGTGTGTGGTGTGGGAGAGCGTGGGGGGTAGGGATGTAAGAATGCGGTCTGCAAGTGTGTGTGGCATAGATGTGGCGGCAGGGGAGTGTATGTATGGCGCTTGTTTGATGACGGTAGTTTTGGTGAGGGCGTGTAGGTGTGTGGGGCACTGTTGGTGAGGTAAAGAAAACAAACAGGCTGTCGCTGGTTTAGTTTTTCTCGTCCGTGGTGCAGCAGACTGGGCCACCCATGGCCTGCTCATTTGCAAAGTGGACAAAAAGGAAGAAAGACAAGAGCAGAGAAGAAGAAAAGGAGGAATCTGAAATTTATTGGAGTAGTCAGGAGTGCGACATGTGTGAACCTGAAGGGAGGAGGGAGGAGAGAGAGAGAGAGGGAGAGAGAGAGGCAGATAGTGACTCTCTGTACAGCCCACATTAGTTTGTCTGGACAGCACTGTAGATACAGAGTGGGAATGTGTCTGAATGTGGCAAAATGTGGGCACCAAATATGGTCAGCAGTTGGACAGTTGACCTGACCAACAATATAGGATCCCACTGTTTATTAACAGACTCCCGCATGGAAATGCTGGCATGGAATGTGACGGGAGGCAGGTGACTACCTTGGTTTCAGTTCAGTTAATGTCTAATCAGTCGGATGAAGGCCATTAGATTCCGTTATGATAAGACATGAGTCACCCCAAAAGTCCCCAACGGGCACAATGAGTCACAGATCAGCCACACGCATCTACACACACACACACACACACACACACAGAGGCGCACACACATCCCTGCGGGTTCTTCAGCACTTCTTTCCCATAAGTCTCCAAATTTCCTCTGA